AATCTTGTAAAGCTGTTTTCTGCAGATTTCAAATTAAACTCAAATTGACAGTTTAGATTCCAATGGGATTGTCATTGAGTTAAGAAAGCAATCTCAGTTCTACTGACTCTTTATACGGAAACTTCAAAACTACTCTTTGCTATTTATCTCCATATCCAAATCAGATCTTAAACGGTAACCAAGGCTTATCAATTCGATCATTAGTACTTTATTACTTAAATGGGTTAAAAATGGATCTACAATTGGTACCTATTAAAATATAAAACTGCATGGAAGAGGAAAGAAAACTTGTAAAGGTTAGAAATTGGCTATACGCACGTAGTTATGATTTGTTGAAGTTCTACTACCCCCTAACAAAGGACGATTTCCCTGAATTTTGCCCAAATATACAGAAACAAAAGGAGAAATCTTATTAGTGATCAATAGTCTTTCAACCATTTGGTCTCATGAGCGAACACCTCCATCCCCAACCTCTCCCAGATCAAAAAAAAATAAGAATAATGCGGTGAGGCTCCTGTTCAATTACTTCGCGATGGACTGTGTGCTTGAAAATTTATAGCTCCACACATTTGTTGCAGAGGGCTAGTGCTGTGAGCTTATAAAACAATAAAACCAGTGTCTGCAAAATGTCAAACACGCCTGGAAAAAGAAGCCTAAAGGCTAGAGAAGCATTTTAAGGATATCCACTATCTAAAAGGTTATGTTAACTACATTTTTACGATTTATCAATAATTCCGATGGCTTAAGTACATTTTCATATGAATCAGCTAATAGGGGTTTTCAAGTGGTGCTTTAACTAGTCGTTTCCATTAGGATTGGAGAGCAGTTCGATCTTGCAAAAATCGATAACATGTTGTGGAATAGTTCCGAATTCGAGTAACATTGGAATGAAATTGAATCCAGGACATAACTTCAACCGGTTCACGTATCGGGATGGATCCGATTGTTGAATTAATAAGGAAAATGCTATGGCTCGATATTTGAAACAAATGCAACGTGGCCTAGCGTTTTAAAACTGGCCAATCGCAAGTGCAAAAGTTTCTCTTCTCATTGGGTTTCATTTGAATTTCAATATGCAATAAAGGTGAATATAAGCGAATCAAGAACTGTGTTTTTGAAAATTGGTATTTGAGCAATTTCCGCCGATTTACCTTGAAATTTCCTTTTCAAATGAATTAAATGATTCCTAATGTCGGGAAATTAAAGTAGCTCTGACCCAAAAGTAAAGGTAACACATCCACTGGACCAAATAAGGGTGCATATTCCATCGTAGAACTGAAGGTAGCGACAGTCACTGCTGCAAAATCACAGGGTTATTGGACAATTGAAAGGATGCAGAAACAGGAGGAATATGGTGGGAAGAGAAAGACGTCAGCACTGAGGTAGGCCACTTCGGTTCGTTAACGAGCAAGCGAAGTTAGTTAGGCCTTGAGGCGCTGACTCTTTATCCCATGTTAGTTATTGGATGAGTGTTGGCTTGAGCAGCCAATCGGAAAGACCCAACAGACAGTTAAGTAAGGTCACAAAATAGACCGAGCAGACTTATGCGTCAAGGGGCGCAGATACTGTCGGTAATTTTGAAATTGCAGTTTCTTCATCTTCTCCCCTCTATGTAAAACTGTTCACCTCGTTCCCCCCCCCCCCTAACCCTTATACGGCCTAACAAATTTAATGTAAGCATTTTCTCGCAAAGCATTGCCAACTGTCTCGAATTTTTATTAGCCGGAGTTCAAAGATTAAATTTATTCGCTATAAGGATGCTCAATGATAGGGTTTCAAGGGCGTGTAACTGCCTCTCTGATTTCCACACGTATGCTTTTTGGATTAAGCTATTTGGAAACGCAGCGTGTAATTTCCCAAACCAGCTATTCCATTTACATCAAATGGCAAGTCCTTGTGGAAGTGGATGCTTTCTGTTAAATCAAGCTTCTGCAGAAAAGATCATTTTCATTCCAACATATCCTGCAATTGACGAATACTGCTAGAAATAGTACTTAAACTTTCAAGCAAATTGGATTTTCTACAAAAATTCAAATGAAATTTGTGCATTTATTTATGAAATCCCGAGAAGCGTTAAATGAGAACCAATCTAGAATTAAGTAGAATTAGCAACCGGAGCTCTTTCCATAGTTATTGAAGGCCTGAACAACTAACTGTTCACGAATAGGCCATTGTTCAAAAGCCACAAATGTTACTCCCACCCAACCAATTCTTTCTATCGTCCTCTGTGTCTTCAATACCCTCTAGATTACGTGATTTCTAATAGGCGTTTCCTAATCGCACCCCTCCATACTTCCACAGACTGACATTCTAATAAAAAATTCAGTGGGTTCTTCAAGTTAGATTGGTTCTCCCCCATTTGTGGCACTCGGAAGGAAACATTGCCAACGATTAGGGGCTTTTCGATTTAATGGCATTCTGCTAGTCATGTATTGGGTTGGCAACTAAGTCATTGCCGTTTTTGTTGACAGATTCACTCTATACTATCTTTTGTTTTGTTAACGTGGCCAGAGCATCTAACCTATATTTTTTTCTTACTGTATGGGCTTCTAGGTTAATTAGTAAAAAATTTTTTTGTTTAGTTCTTTAGTTTTGTTTTTATCCCAATTTAAAAATGAAAGAACAGGACGTGCACTTCCCACACATTTTATTGTATTACTTCCGAAAAGGCAAGAACGCATCGCAAGCACAAAAGAAGTTATGTGCCGTATATGAAGATGAAGCCTTCAAAGAAAGGCAGTGTCGAAATTGGTTTGAAAGATTTCGTTCCGGTGATTTTTCACTGAAAAATCCACAACGATCTGGCCGCCCAGTCGAAGTGGATGAAACCCATATCAAGGCCATTATCGATTCAAATCGTCACAGCACAACACGAGATATTGCAGAGAAGCTCAATGTGTCGCATACATGCATTGAAAAAAATGAAAAACCCTTGGTTATGTCAAGAAACTTGATTTATGGATCCCTCACCAGTTAAAGGAAATTCATTTGACGCAACGGATTAGCATCTGTGATTCGCTACTGAAACGCAATGAGAATGATCCATTTCTGAAGAACCTAGTTACTGGCGACGAAAAGTGGATAGTTTATAACAATGTTACTCGCAAGAGATCATGGGTGAAGCAAGATCAACCAGCCCAAACAGTATGAAAAGCAGAGATTCACCAAAAAAAAAGATTATGCTGTCAGTCTGGTGGTGGGATCACAAAGGAATTTTGTATTTCGAACTCATGCCGCAGAACCAAACGATAAATTCAAATGTGTATGTTGAAGAACTCGAAAAACTGAAGGATGCAATTGAAGATAAGCGGCCGGCATTATCAAATCGGCGGAAGGGTGTTGTTTCCCATCATGATAACACAAGGCCCCACACATCTTTGGTTACTCGGCAAAAATGATTGGAACTGGGTTTGGATGTTTTGTCACACCCGCCATATAGCCCTCACCTTGCGCCTTCGGATTACCATTTGTTTCGTTCCATGCAAAACTCTTTAAATGGTAAAATTGTTAACAACGCGGATGATGTCGGATCACACCTAATTCAGTTTTTTAATAGCAAAGACCAGACATTTTACGAACGGGGAATTTTCACTCTGCCAGAACGATGGAAAAAGGTCATCGACAAGAACGGCCAATATCTAATTGAATAAAGTTATATTTTTAAACAAAAATTCCGAATTTGCCTTCTTATTTGAAATCGGCAATGACTTAGTTGCCAACCTAATAAGTGCGTGTGTATTCTCATTCAAGAGGGTCAAAGAACCAGTCTAATCTAATATTCATACCCGCTTAAACATGAGAAGTGTGAAATAGTAGAGGTCATTTCAATCATTAGAAAAGGGAGCGTTTTATTGGAATAAGCAAACACAACGGCTCCATGTGGGATGCACACCAAGAAACTTCATTTGATAGGAACAACGTGGAATCTAGAAAAAAATTGAAACTATTTTTATAAGGGGACAAGATGAGCAGATAACAAATTGAGATAACAAGACTTACCCCAAGCTTTGGCCACCTTCAGGTTTGGTTAGTACAAGGCGAAGGAGATGCGAACTGTCACCTTCCTCTCGAACAACACTCACTGGAATCGAATCCTAGTAAGTGCACAAAATAAGTGACCAGTTCACCAGAAAAGAGATTAGGCTAATTAGGCGAGATGACTCAAAAACTAAAAGAATGAACGCTTTAAGGAAGACTTGTTTAAACACTGTATATGACACTTAAGTGTCAATCGAGTGAAATCATTATTAGATTTTCAGTGGATGGGATATGCTGAATTCAACGAAGTTGCTGTAATTGAGGCGCCTATGAGCGAAGTAGATTGTCGGCCAAAAAACTTTGGATAAAGGAAGATAGACCAAAGAAACCCTTATGAGAAGCTTTCATTGCATAAACCTCCTGTTGATGGGGTGTGTGATAGACTTACCTTCACGTGGTGCACCCTGGGCAACGTATACTCATACACCAAAAAGATCTATTAACGGGCAGTTGACTTCTGACTTCAAACTACCATGACCCCACTGTATGTCATATTTGACTGCTTCCACATTACCCACCTCACCTTTTTTCTACCTTTGTGTCTGTCTCTTTTACATCTTTGAAACACTCTTCTGTTCCACCCCCCCCCCCTAACTCAACCTTTTTAACTTTGATGTTCATTCCCCTCTGTGAAGCTTGAAGTCAACTAAATGGCTAATGATAACTATCGAAACGCCTGCAATTTTATATAAATAAGTAAATAAAACCTTCTGTTGATTAGAATTAACCAGTGTGGTAATTAGCCACATCTTTTAATGCGCAACAAGGACACATGATAGACTTCTAAATACAGAACCGCATTGCCACAGATAAAGTGGATTAGACAAATCACTGACACCTAACTCAATAATAGACTCCCAGAAACAATTTGGTTTCCTATTTTCGAAACATTTTTTTAATTCAATGCACACTTCAGGTATTTAAAAATACCTGCTGCTCAGTTTGAGGTGGACCAATGGCATTCAAGTGGCTGTAAGGGAACTCACTTTAGGAGCTGTTGCCTTGACGACCTCCATAACTGCAGAGAGACCGGAGAAGTTGGAAGAAAGAAGCGAACCGAATCGAACAATCTTATCACCGACACGAATACCCTGTTAGCGAAGTAAGAGAAAAGTACTTAAAATTCAATATTGGAGGGAAATGTACCCTACTCCAACTATATTTCAAGGAAGAAAGTGCCGACTTAGCAACCGTTTAACAAGTTATTCTAATTATCTAAAACCAACCAATGGGATTAAAATGTGATGCTTTGTTACTAGTGAATGTAACCACAAAATGACTTAACGGTACAATCAAAACGTTTGTAGCAATACAAGAGATACTTTTAAAAAAATATTGCCAAAATAGCATCGACCTAACCTATAAAAGAGACGATAGAAATCAAGAAATTGATAAATAAGCTGTTTTTATTAGAGGTAGAGGCAGTACTGTGGAGCCTCCCTCATGAGAGAATCAAAATCGGCCATCATTATCAGTGTGGCTGGCCATTCCACCCACAAGACATGCTGCAAATTCTTAGACCACTTGAGACCTCATTATAGAGTTTGAAAAATCAGAGTGATGCCTGACAGTTTTAGCGGCCTCTGCACTGGTTAAAGTATCTACGTTTGATAACGATTCATCACCTCGTCACCACGTTAACAACCCATTAAACTTCATGGTGGGACTATAAAGATTCGAGGCTGCTAAATTCTTCCTAGAGACAGCGACTCGATCCAGTGTTTGATTTACTTTCAGTTCTGCCATGGGTAGTCTTCCATAATCGAAATTTTGAACTAGAGATAAAGTGTAATTTATGAACGTTTACGTTAACCACCTCTGCAAGATATGTCCCACTACTTCAAAGGCTAATCCTGTTCCCCCCCCCTCCCCCCTCCCCCCTCCCCATATAACTGAAAATTGCGGAATTCATGCAAGGAAGAGAGGGAAGGAGAAAGAACCACTAAGAACCCCACACCAATTCATTCCCAACCGCATACACAAGAACGTCAAACCAAACAACATACCGAACATGCTTATTGATCAAGCCGAGAGGGAGGGGGGGGGGGGGGGGGGAGGAGGGGAAGAGGGAAGCAAAGGATGAACAGGATGTCACACCGCACAGTTCGCTTAAAGTAAAGGCGGCCCAAGGGACCCTACCCAAGAATGCGGAAGGGTTTCTGTGTCCACCGTACATTCTTCTTCCGACAAGGCATAGGTGCCCAAGTGAAGTAACACTGCACAAACAACAGCAACAGAAGCTGGACAACATTTCACATTGATGGTAGCAATAGCATGCTACAGTGGTAGCAGTGTCGAAGCATAAATTAAGGGTGCTGACGTTATACGCGTGCATGCACACAATTGTCCCACCAAAAGAGAGGGAAATTGGGAATGAAATGGTGTTTCGTAAATCAATACTAAACCAATTACCTTACTCTCAAATTAGCCCACAAGGTATCTCCAGAAATGACTAGCCCAAGATTATAGTGTAGTACATGGTGAAACAATAAGTGCCTTATAGAAAAGAACCATAATTTGAACAGTTGAGTGGATCATTTCTATTTTAATGCTATAAAAACGATTCCGTCTTCACATTCCTTTGTTGTCCCATTCATTAAAGTAGGTAGCGATTAGAGAAGAGTAAAAATCAATAATCTCAATGGTCGTATTGACAATTGCAATATGTCTAGTGTCTTAATTCCTCCATGGAGTATGTGATAGAACACCCCACTTAATGACACGTCTGCAGTAGCACAGATGCTTCATTCATGCGTGGTATAGAAGCCAGTAAATTTCTGTGACCAAACTCGTTCCATTCCCTCGCGGATGAGTTTTTTAGTGGCGTAAAATTATAAATACTTTTATGCACCCCAAGAATTCCTCTATGCACAACAGATTTTGTATAAAACAATGTTACAACTGATAATAACGCAAGCAACAAAGATTCAAACCATGTAGGATGAAGGCAGGGAGCCTGTAACACAAAATCAATGTTTTACTAACTACAGCATGGAACTAGAATATTCCCAAAAAAAGCAAATAACACAAATAAACACAAAATAAGAATAATCACAAAATAAAGTGCGCCTTTTCAAACCCCTTTGTGAATCCTACTTCAGTTCGGAGATACTCTATTCACCCTCCCCCGACCCCCATTCTATCAAGAGCACCTTGTCGTGGAAAAAATACAATCCTGTATTTCAAAATACATGCATTCAAAGTTGCTGGAAAGCACTACTCAGTATTTGTTAGATTACAATGAGGTAGTGACCTCATGAATGACTCACTGCAAGATCAGAAGGTGAGCCAGGAGTGACTTGATCGACAGTGAGGAAGGCTTTCGGTGGAGGTTCAAACGGAGTTTCTGTATCCATTGCTTCGGAAGTCGACAATGACTGTTTCGCTAGAAGTCGCGAAGAGACTTCTTCAAGTTTAGTCATCAACTCATTGTAATCTGTATTGAGGCCTATATCAACAATGGAGGTTAAGCAACAAAAAGGTAATAACCGACCAATGATCGCTTACATAGGAGAGGAAGAGAGAGAGAGGGGAAAAGCTTTACAAAATAATAGAAAATCGATATAGCCAGTAACGCAAGCAGACGGATAAAATTATGGCTGAAAATTGATCAAAAGTTAGCGACGCTAATAGAGAGACAAATTAAAAGACCGAGAACGCACTACACCAAAAAATCAACACAGGATACATAGTCAAGGACAACTAAAAACTCGAATCTACTACGAGTTCGATCTAAGTTGTAAAACCAATAAACAGCCTCAATTATTGAAAGGCTTTGAGCATATGTATCTCCTTATCCGCATAGAACGAACTGTTGCCCAATCGTAAAAACGAAGTAAATTTAAATTAAAATAAGATTCTCCTGAATGGGTCCTTTTCAATATTAAGGTCAAGCAAAATTTGAATGGAGGGAAAAAGGAGAAAGTTGAATGTTTTTTTTGCCTCATTCACAAAGATTTCATTGTCAAAGTTAAATGCGCGCAAAAAATTCTCCTCCCGAATATAAAGGGTGTTCGAGATAAATTTGACAGTTCCATCAGAAAAAAAGGAATGGTAACTGCACGATTTGATACGCTTAAAAGTAAATCAATAAAGAAGGAAATTGTACTGTTGTTTCACTCCAGTCCCGTCTCAAGAACCTGGATCAAGCTGATTCTATACCGACTCGGACGAGGCAGGAGGAGGAGGGAGGGGGGATGCGTCTCAAAGAAGCTTTCATTCTGTTCAATAAACTGGTTGGCTTCTGCAGTACTGGAACGAGGACTCACATCTTCCTCTACACCATCAGATACAAACGTAATAGTCTATCGGGTTAAGATCAGAAAAGTTCAAACATGCATTGAAGCTGATGTTGTAGCAGAAATTGACTGACAACCATTTTTTTACTTTTCCTTGAGGTTTGACAGGTTGGCTAATCCATTAAATCTACTCTTTATCCAAGACTTAAATATTACAGTGGTCAACAATTCCACGTAGAGGTCTGAATTTAACCTAAGCCCATTCTGAAAAAATTCCGGAGGTAGTACAATACCCACAGAGGACACATCCAGAAAGCGTGACACTGTTTAGGCAAATTTAGTCTGCATGACTCGATGAGTGTACTTTGGTCTGCTACATGCAAACCAAACTATCTGTCATTCGGTGTTACATTTTCACCTTGGCAAGAGGTTTCCAATCGAAAAAAAAGAGTCAGGTTATGCTTCAGTAGAATGTTCCACATTCTTCATGAGTTTCTTCGGCTTTGTCTGACGATTTATTCGGCCCTTTGCTGTAGGAAACTGACTACTGCTACGTTTGAATGAGCTTGTAATAGCGAAGGTCTCCATTGTGTGCAGGCTTCAAGGAAGAGACTGAAACATTCAATTTACTGTGGCGACAACGTTTCAATTTAAATACCAGGGTGCTTTGCAAACCCTGTTTGCCACAGCGGACTTTTGAGAAAGTCTACTGAAGCAAAATCATAATCAGATCAAATCCCCTGCTATATTGTCTTCCTCAAGTAACAGCCACCTCATAATCTCCGTTGCATTACTCAAATTCATGCCAGATTCATTTCACAGTATTGGGAAAGGATTAAGCTGAGACTAATAACCAATGCGAATCAACATTTATTTATTTCAAATGGCAGGCGTTTTGATAGTCATCATTAGCACTTTAGTTGACTTCAGGCTTCACTGAGGGGAAAGCATGAAAATGAGAAAAAGTCGATAGGGGGGGGGGGGGCAGAAGAGAGTTTCAAAGATGTTAAAGAGACAGACATAAAGGTAGAAAAAAGGTGGAGTGAGTACTGGGGAAGTAGTCGAATATGGCATACAGTGGGGTGATGGTAGTTTGAAGTGAGAAGTCAACTGCCGGTTAATAGAACTTTTGGCGTATGAGTATACGTTGCCCAGGATGCACCACGTGGGTTCCAAACATCATTCATTATCATTTGCATCATTCGTGTGGATGAAGAATGGCTTAAGTCGTTAGAATAAACGTACTATGCGAGCACAGCTTCAGTGCATCCGGGAAAAACCAAATATTATTCTTGAAAATCTATCCAAGCATCCTGAAACGACGTGGTGTAACAGACCAGAGAGCAATTCTTAATACATTTCATCTCGAACATCCCCACCCGNCCCCCCCCCCCCCCCCCCCCCCCCCCCCACGCCGTGCAGGTACTTTGAATGCGTTAAGATTGACATTCTCCGTAAATGCTCAGTATAGCGAAAGAAATAGTTGATGATTCCTTCGAAGACAGGTAAGACAAAAATCTATCAATCATTTAAGCGACGCAAGTCTGAAACCCATCCATAGATAGAATAATCAAGCAAATATTAACCTCTAGCGAACCAAGTTTGCATTAAAGATAAGTTTTAATTTGAAGGACCAAGGTCATATTGAGTAGTTTAGGAGAAAACCTACATATGATTCTATTGCGTGCTGTCCGTACAGCAACTAAATCGATATCGTTTCGCGGAAAGCCCTCAGAGTCCACAAGAGGTCCATGCATTCCCACATCCCTATTCTGCACAAAAGGAGAAGAAAATGAACACTGATCAGTAAATTGTGTCGAACGCAGAGGAAACAGCATTTTATACTCTCTATGATCAATGAAGTTCTATTCAATTAAAATAATAAATTAGTTTAAAAAATCATGGGTAACATAATTATTCAAGATAACACGCTTTGGCATAATCTTAACAAAATGCTATGTGCACAAACTAATACCAGACCAATAAGCTATGAGCTAGTCTATTGCTGGTGTTAAAGGGACTAAATTAGCCGGTTAATGATTAAAAAGTAACTTTGGTTTATTTAAAAATCACAGTAGATAACTTACGATCTTCAGAATCTCTGTGTAAATCCCAATCTCTGCTTCAATAGCTTTGCGCTTTTTCTCAAGCTCCTGGAACTCCTTCAGCACTGTTGAATTTTCCATCATTTTGAATGACACCTTAATTCTTCTGAACTACCTAGTAACACATATTTTAGCTCAATCAATAAGTGGCATGTGGTGTGAATAGTACCAAATCATCTTATTATTTCACTCATGAAACCATTAACAAGCATACAATACTGGGGAAACACGATCGAATTATAAAAAAATACATGTATTTATACGCAATACGATAGATAATTGGGGTGTGAGTTGCATTGAGTTGCAGTTTACAAATTGGGACAAATGTGAGCAAGAGATGTGAGACCTTTACAGACTGTATCTTTATCCGGTATTCCACTTAGGGGCTCCAATTGGCCAGCTATAGCTGTTAGAGGGATGAGACAACTCAGTAGACCATCCAGTAAGGTTGAAGTTACATCTTCCATTAGAACCGGACCCTAGGAAAAAAGTTGATATAATGACGGTATTTATATTTGTAAAGTAGACAACATTTTATAGGCCAACTTACTCGGTACTGGCTCAGTTGCTGAGCGGCACTGCCAAATGAATTCGAGAGGATTTGAAAATGAGCTGCGATATCGATAAGGTTGTATTTGGAAGTCTCTGTGCGGGCTAACTGGGCTTCAGCTCGTTTCAATTCGGCGGCGCGTTTAGCTTCAGCCGCCGCGGTCTTTTCAGGAGCAGCTTCCATAGCCTTAACCATTCGTTTTGCCCGGAGTTTCCATTGCTGTCGGTCACGTTCGGGTAGCGTTGCCCATAGTGCCTGAAATAGAAGTACTTCATTTACTCTTAACAAGCTCCTATGACCTATCAAAGCTAAAAGGCTACTTCATGATACAAAGGAGAAAAAATTGTCAAGCAAGAAATAAAATACCATAGATTAAACATGATCCTATAAGTTATAGGCCGGGGTGTGCAATAGACTTACCTCCATGTGGTGCACCCTG